TTAATCGTCTCTCCTCAGCTTCAAATTCTCTTTTCCGGTCTTCTATAGCTTCTTCGACTTCTCTCCTCTTTTTATTTTCCATTTCATTTCGTATATCTTCGCGTGCTCGGTCAACCTCGTCGTTCACTCGGTCGTCCAATTCGTCTTCGTATTCAGCGGCCCAGGCTTCTCGTGCTGTTGCGAGAGCGCGGTCAAGTTCGGAGCGAGAGGAATGGTCTAGGGTTTTGACCCATTCTTCACGAGCTGAAGCGATCCTTTTCTGAAATGACAACAAAAAATTGTAAAATAAACGTTTCTTGAACTAAAAGTAATTTATTTCCGAGCTTTTGGGTAGAAGCGCCAGAAACTAACTTAGAAACAACACTTAACAAGCAAGCAAGCAAGCAAGCAAGCAAGCAAGCAAGCAAGCAAAGAAGGAAGGAAGCAAGAAGCAAGAAAGCAAGGCTGGAAGAAGGTGGGAGGAAGGTAAAAATCAAAAAGCAAGCAAAGCAAAGAAGAAAACGAAATAATAAATATAACCTTTAAACATTCTTCTCGTTCTAACTCCTGCTCTTTTTGCCACTCCGCGCGAGCCTCAGCAAGAGCATTCCTCAACTCCTTATGCTTGAACTCCTCCAACTCCTTGGAATATTTAGACTCGAGGAACACTATCGCTTTTTTCATTTCTTGTTGTCTTTGTTCTTCTTTCTCGTCCAGTATCTTATTCGTCTCCTCTTCTACAATTCTCTGAAGCTCTTCTTGYTTCGTTTCTTCAAACTCTGACCACAGTTTGTTTCGAATTTCTTCGATATTCGCAGGGTTGTTGTTGTGGTCGTAGTTTCTTTGCCATAATGTCTAATAAAAAATAAAGATACAGGTATAGTTATGGGGTCTAAATACTAATATGTAGTAATTGCTATAATAGTTATAGAGTGGTTTTTATCTTATTCCAGAAMAATATTCCAAGAGGCACGATGTTGTCGATGATTGTCATTGCTGCTGTTGATGATGATCCTTGTGATGATGATGATGGCGATGATGATAATGATACTGATGTAATGCTGCTGCTGCTGATGATCTTTGTGATGATGATGATGATACATGATGATGATACATGATGATAATATTGTCAATGACGATGATGGTGGTGATGATGATGTTGGTGACGATGGTGGTGGTGTTGATGATGATAATGATGTTAGTGATGATGCTGTTGATGCTGGTGATGATGATGTAATGCTGCTGCCGCTGATGGTTTTCGTGATGACGATGATGATGATGCTGTTATGATTCTTATGATGATGATATTGGCAATGAAGACTATGGTGGTGGTGATGATGATGATGTTGGTGGTGATGACGATGATGTTGGTGATGATAATGATGATGATTCTTGTTGATAATGATTTTTGTGATGATGACGATGATGGTGGTTRCTTCTATTTCTGCTGATCAAAAAAGCAAAACAAACCTACCTTGGCTTCTCTTAGCGCCATTTCAACCGCTTCTCTTTTCTGTTTTTCGAATCTCTCCACCAACTGTGCACTCGCTTCCTCTAAAGCCCTACTAAGTTCTTCCTCTTGACTAGCTTTCCATTGATGTTGAGCGTCTTCWACAGCTCTTGCTGCGAGGCAAACCATAAAAACTGGTCAGAAATTCATAGAAGACAAGGGTGGGGCAGGGGGAGCTGGAGAAAAAGGGGCAGGGCCAGCACAAGTTTGCGACATCCTCAAAAGGGTAGGACTTAAGGAAATGGAAAAATTAGAAGTCAAGTTTGGAAAGCTCACGCAGGTAGGGGGGGGGGTGGGGGCAAACTAAGAATTAAAATTGGAGGGGAGACAGGATTTTTGGTTCTTTTTGAGTGAAAGGCTCAAACCCTGGTAAATGAAAATTTTTGTGAAATCTCACAATAAATATCTGAGAAATTCAATACAGCCTGAAATTCTGAAAACCCTCCAAGTCAATATACCTATATCTTGATCCTTCTCGTGAGCCCACGTTGCCCTGACCGCCTGGACAGCAGTATCGACAGCATGCGCAACCTTAGTCTGTTCATTTTCTATCCACTTCACTTCAGCTATTGCTATGGCTGCCTCGATAGCTCTCTCCGTTTCTTGAATTTCTTTTTCTCTCCACTGCTGTTTCTCTTTTGCTAGAAGTGTACGGTAGATYGTCTCCTGTTGTTAAAAGGATGCCTTTAGTTTGAGCTGTGACGTCAAGCACAAGGATCCCACATTAATAAAGGCTTTGCCACCATTATATGATGGCAGCCATCACAGGAGGCACAACAATAGAGTCGTTCCCCCCTGGGAAACTGAATTCTTTCTCAAGTAAACCAGTTTAGACCAGATTCAATTGTTCCTGCCTCCTGTCATGGCTGCCATCACGTGATGGTGCAAAGCCTCTATTGTTAGTGGTTCAGAGCGTTATTCCTCGTGATCTACGTGACTGTTAATTCAAACACCATTCGGAAAATCGCAAAGGATTATGGTAGTAGTGGTATCATRACGTCATGAAGAGGAAAACAAAATTCCAAATCAGACCACTTTTTATGAATGAATCGAAGTGTGACAACAATTACATTTTTTACGTTATTTTCTTTCTCCCATTGTTCCCTTGCTTCAGCCACGGCGTTAGTAACAGCAACCTCGACTGCATGTTCAATCTCCCCTTGTCTAGTCTCTTCCTCTTCTCTCTGCCACTCGGTCCGTGCCTCGGAGATGGCCTGGGCAAATTTTTGATTGGGAGACTCGGCGGTGGATTTCTGTTGAAAGAATTAAAACAAGCTGGTAGAGTGCATACCATATATTCGCGAAACATCTTTAAAAAAAATTGCAAAAATTTGCAAGAATTAGTAAGGTCTAGTAAGTTCAGTAAACAGTAGAACAACAAAACTTTGAAACTAATTTGTGCAATTTTGATAGTTAACTCTTTCATGGATATATGGTATGCACCGTGCTGAAACACGGTGAAACATTGCAAGCAGCAAATTTGAATCGGGGTGACACACATTGCAACAAAATCACACAACATCGCTTGTGTCAGCCTGCTATGTTAAGATATTTGGTCAGCAGTTATAAATTTGGTGCAAGCTGATTGGCTAGAAATTGCAAAATATTGCAGGTAATGTTGCAGCTATGTTCACATTTGTTGCGCGCAATGTTGCAAGAGTGGAGCGCGATTCAACTTCAGATTTGTTGCGTTGCGTGCAACAAGATTGGGGTAGACACACGCTGCAACAGTCCTGTTGCGTGCAATGTTGCATGCAATGTTGCACCGTGTGTCAGCACCGTAATGCTTCCTTCCTTTTTGCTTAAAAAATAAATGGTTAAGTTTCAAAGTAGATTTCATATGTTTTTGAAAAAAGCTGTCAAAGGAATGGGTAGAGTCATGATATTTTTTCCCTTTGCTTTAACAGAAAGAGAGTAGATGATTTTTAGATCATTCTATCTCCACTATAAAAATGGATACTTCCTAAATCCCACTAACCTTTACTTCATCCACTTTTCCATTTCTCTCTTTCTCTTCTCTTTCTTCCCATTCTCGTTTCGCCTCATTTACAGCATCTAATATTCGTTTCTTAACATTCTGTTCTTGTTCTTCCATCCATTTCAACCTGGCTACAGATATMCGCTTTTCTAGTGATTCTTCGGAGGACTGTTGATTCCAAAGTGTGCGGGCTTCTTCGATCGCCTTCTTGATTTCCTGAGCTTTTTCCTAAACAATAACAACACAGTTCCAAACCTCTTTAATACGGCCACCAAAAGTAAGTTAAATGTGCATATTACAAAGTTCTTGACTGTACCAACTCATTTATAAACAGACCTCTTTTTGAACAAAGATTCAACAGTAGAAAGATGTTTACATTTTAAGAGGACAGATTGTACAGTTCCGAACCTCTTTAATACGGGCATCGAAGGGACGTAGGTTGGTGTCCGTAATACGCAGGTCATCGTGTTAGAGAAGTCTGTTTATACTAAAAGGATAGAATGTATAGTTCCAAACCTCTTTAATACGGCCACCGAAGGGACAAAGCTAAGCGGCCGTATTACCAGCATATCAGCTGACAATCTTAGGGTTTTAGAAAACATACCTTACTTACGTGTGTTACCAGCATACCAGCTGACAATCTTAGGGTTTTAACAAACATACCTTACTTACATGTTTAACCAGCATACCAGCTGAAAATCTTAGGGTTTTAGCAAACATACCTTATTGGCTTGTTCTATAGCCTTTTTAGTCTCTTCTTTCACGATTCTATCCAATTCCAGATCCTTCTCTTGTTTCCATTGTTCACGTGCTTTAGCCATATCCTCCTGGTGTTTCTTCTCAAGGGTGTTCCTCAAGGCTTCGATGGCTTCTGGTTCAGTCTGTGATAACGAGTGGAAGAATGTAGAAAAGACGACGCTAGGGTACGTTTTTCGTTCGGGGGGGGATTGGCAGTAAACATTATTGCTTGCCTCATGGGCCTTTTCTAAGATGGTGCATCAACATGGTGCATTGTGATCTAGCATCTATGTATTTTTGACTCCCCATGGAATGCCATATTAGTATTGTACCTTGTCTTGCTTCATTTCTTGCAWAACCTCTTCTCTGACTCGCTTTTCAACAGTGCGATTTTCTTCACTGAGTTCCAGGTAGCACTCCTTGACACGTACTAGCTCATCGTTGACTTCTTCTAATGCGTCCCTGGATTATTAACAAGRTAGCAGTATTAGTAGCAGCATTTACGCGTAAGTATTAAGTTTTTTTTTTTTTTTGCCTGGAAAGTTATTAAAGATGTGAATCGTGTTTCATGAAGCAATTTTTTCTTGACAACAAATTCCGAGCCCAATCATCATCATCATCATCTTTGGCATCATGTTTCATCATCATCTATCACCACCATCATGTATCATTATCATCATCTTTGGCATCATGTTTCATCATCATGTATTACCACCATCATGTATCATTATCATGTATCATCATCATGTATCATCATCATCATGTATCATTATCATGTATCATCATCATCATCTTTGGCATCATGTTTCATCATCATCTATCACCACCATCATGTATCATTATCATCTGATAACCATTATCATCACCATCATCATTAGTCACCATCATCATCATGTATCATCATCATCATCATCAACATCATGTATCATCATCATCACCGTCATCATCATCACCATCATCATCGTCCCCATCATCATCACCATTAGTCACCATCATCATCATGTATCATCATCATCACCATCAACATCATGTATTATCATCATCACCATCATGTATCATCATCACCGTCATCATCATCACCGTCATCATCATCACCGTCATCATCATCACCGTCATCATCATCACCATCATCATCGTCCCCATCATCACCATATCAATGTATTATAATCAACATGTTCATGTACTTCACACTACAATCTGGAATAACCATGATCATTATCCTTTAAGAGTGACAACATGCCTTCTTACCTCRAAACTTTGGCACCTTTCTCGTTTTCTTCCTCCATTTCCTTCCTAAGCTGTTCTTTGGCATCCTCATGAAGCTGYAGACATGCATCTCTACACCTACGACAATACATATATCAAGGAATCAAGGGTGCAATAGTCTTAAAATAATAATTGAACAACCTCTGGGCTGGTCTAAGTAAGGGCATGGCTAACTCACAGAT